TTGACATAAATCAAATCTAAAACATATACTCTTCTAATCAGATCATCAGACAGTCGACGTTTAATGTGACCAAACCATCTAAGACGACTCTCTCTAATTTTGTTTGTCACTGGAGCTACACCAACCCTATCAAGAATATATTCATTTCGCGTTTTGTCTCCAAGTGTAAAGCCACTCATCCACCTAATCATTCTCATCTAGGCAACACTTAGTTTTATGCTTCTCTTTTAAATGTCAACATCAGCGACATAGAGCATTGCAAGTCTCACCACCATCTTACAAAATTCTCCTTTCACTTTAAGTAGTACATTTCTATCACACAATAGGCCCGAAGCATTCCTCGACTTCAACCAACCAACTTGAATTCTACTAATAACTTTCTCATCACATCACCATAATTTTGAACAATAGACCTGAGATATCTAAAAAGTTACTTCAATCAACCAACGTGAATTCTAATAATAACATCCCCTTCTATATCACCATCAATTCGAAGCTACTACGTCACTAGAGCTACTACTACTAAAATTACATTATATGTATTCAGTTTTAGTTCTACTCAAACGAAGGCCTTTAGACTTCAAGGCAGACCTCCATAATTCAAGTTTTTTTCCTGAGCTTTTCCTCTCGTCTTATCCACAAGAAGGATATCATCAGCAAAAAACATACACCAAGGTACATCCTCCTATAAGTGTCCAGTTAGACCATCCATAAGTAAAGCAAAAAGATATGAGCTTAAAGTCGATCCCTGATGTAAACCAACAGAAAGAAGAAAATATTTGGTCAATCCTCCTTCTGTTCGAACACAAGTAACAGTTCTTGTATACATATCTTTAATGACTTGAATATAAGTCATATCAACACCTTTCTTCTCAATAACTCTCCAAAGGATATCTCCTGAAATCTTATCATAAGTTTTTTTCTAAATCAATAAAAATCATATGTAGATCCTCCTTATTATCTTTGAACTTCTCCATCAAACCTCTCAATAAACGTATAGCTTCCATAGTAAACCTGCTCGGCATGAATCCAAATTGACTATTAGAAATCTATGTAATAAGTCTTAACCTATGTTCAATTACCCTCTTCCATAATTTTAAAGTATGACACATCAACTTAATTCCTCTACTTAATTCCTCTATAATTGCACATCAACTTAATTCCTCTATAATTGGCACACTCTTGTGCACCCCTTATACTCTTCCTCTACTCCTCAAAATACTCTTCCTCTACTCCTCAAACATCTTTTTAGTATTTAAAATAATATTAAAGAGTTTAGTAAGCAAAGAAAATCCTAAATCTCCTAAATATTTTCACACCTCAATAGGGATATCATCAGGTCCTAAAGGCTTTCCACCCTTGATTTTCTTTAAAGCCTTCTCAACTTTTTTCTGCTAATGCGACGATAAAAATGAAACATTTTATTACTATTAATTATATTAAGATCACTAAGGTTGATCGTATTTTCCGAAACTTCATTAAAAAATTTATCAAAATAACTCACCCACCTATATTGAATTTCTGTTTTCAAGAAAATCACTTTTTGATTTTCATCTTTAATACACTTTACTTGAGTTAAATCTTTACTTTTCTTTTCTATTTGTTTAGCTAGTTTATACATATATTTTTCATCTTCCTTAGTATCTAATATATTATAAAGATCAATAAAAGCAGAATTTTAATGTCAGAGATTGTTCTCTTATACTCCCTACGGCCCATTTGATATTTTTTTCAGTTCTCTAAGCTTTGACATTTAAACTAATTTTTATAACATATTTTCTTATATTTTATCTTTTTTTGCTCATTATTATTCCACCACCAACTATTTTTATTAATAGAAATATTTTCTTTTGATTCTCCAAGTACAATTTTTGTAACTTGTTTAGTAGTTTTTGTTACTTTATCCCACATAAAATTTGCTTCTTCATGAACATCCTAAATTTTGAAATCTTGAATTTTACACAAAAAAACAAATTTATTTGTCTTTCAAGTACCCTCATCTAATTCTACAACAATGACCCCTAGCATTCTTTATTTTACAATTCTTCATCTTAAAATTTAGAACTGACAATCGTTGTTGAGTACTTAACCCTCACTTAGAATGACCTTGCAATCTTTATATTCTGGACGATCTCTTATTCTCATAAGAAAATAATCAATTTGTGTTTTATTAGCTTCATTCTTATAAGTAATAACATGTTCATCTCTTTTCTTAAATAAAGTATTAGCAATAACAAAATCATAGGCTAAAACAAAATCTAATATAGTTCTACCTTCTTCATTAAACACTCCAAAACTGGAGCCACCAGGAATACTTTTAAAATCTTCTACCACTCTACCGACATGTCATTTAAATCTCCTCTAATAAAAATTTTTTTCTTCAAGAGGTATCATTTGTATTAAGTTTTCTAAGTCATTATCTAAACCTACTTGACAAGCATAAGCACTTATAATATTAAAAATCTTAATATCAACAATAATCTTAAGATCAACAATAATCTTAAGGGCATAATCTTAAGGGCTATATTTCTATCTCAAACTCTATTAATTTTTACAATATTATCTTTCAAACTATTATCTATAATTACATCTACCTCATCTCTAGTGCGGCTCTTATCTGATTGTCAAAGTTTAAAACATAATTTATCAATCTCCTTAGCCTTTTCTCCAACCCAATTAGTTTCTTGAACACATAAGATATTTATCTTTTTATGAATCATAATATCAACTAATTCCGTTAATTAACCAGTAAGAGTGTTTATATGTCAAGATCTTATCCTAATATTAGTTTTATAGACTAACTTATTTACCCGTATTCGTCTATAATGTGGGAACTCTTGCCTATTTGACACTACACCCGGACACCGGTGTAGCGACCCTTACACACTTTTAACTGTATTCAAACCATAAAATGTTTCACTTCCAGCGGACGCTCTAGCACTTACACAATGATCAAAAAGATTCAAGTCATAAATTTTTCAACAAGTTTTATGTTGGTTGTCGACTAGCTAACATAATCCTCTACTTTCACACCCGAGTTTAGGACTGGCAATGACAGTGTTAACAATTTTAAATTTTATTGCTTTGTGTTTTAGGTCATAATATTTATGTTGTCAATCCTGAGCAGCTTTCCATCTGTCTCTGATTAACCTAATTTCCTATGTGTGTTCATCATCTAATTTAAGAACCAATATTTAACATTCATCCACTTCCACTCAACTTAATTTAGCTCTGCATTTATATCATACAATGCTTCATAAGAAGTCATTTTGATATTAAATCGATAGTTATTGTTGCTGATGATTGATCATTGGAATGTGATCTTCACAACCGCCTCTAAAATCAAGGACACAACCTCAACGAGCCTTCACATGAATTTTCCTTTTTAATTCTTGATTTGTGGATGAAAAGGTATGCTAAATGCAAATGTATACCCAAGCTTTGTTGGATGTTTTTCCACAACCTATACGTTAATTTTCCATCTCTTTCAGAGATGATAGCTTTTGAAATTTTGTGCAATCTGATAATTTTTTTGAGATGTAATATGGTCAGCTTGTCAACTGAATCTGTGTTTTTGATTGACAATCAATGAGCTAACTTTGCTAACCTGTCAATAATAACCATATACTGTTTTGACCCTACCGAGATCGAAGAAATCTCATATTAATCCATAGTAAATTCTTCCCATTTCCATTTAGGAATATGCAATGATTGTAGTAATCCGCTGGGTTTCTGATGACCAGTCTTTATAATCTGATAGGTTTGGCATTTAGACATATTAAGCAATATCCTTCTTTGTAACTGACCACCAGATTATCAATTTCAAATCATTGTATATTTTAGTGTTGTGTGGATGAATTATATAGCCTGAATTAGCATCTTCATGTAGGTTTCTTTTTTCAAATCAAAATTAACAGGTACTCATAATTGTAACTTGTTTCTGATTATACCATCTTAATCAATAGTTATATCTGACTTATTTCCTGATTGAAGTTGTTTAAGTAGTTTCAAATATTCACCGTTAACTTAACAGACTTTATTTTATCCATCAGAGTTGATTGCATGATCAGCCGATGCAAATACCCCATATCACCTGGATTTCTGACTTCCAACTGCAATGCATCAATTTCGGTAATCAATTCCAACTCCTGAGTAATACTCCAGGTTGCACAACCTGTGGATTTACAACTCTAAGCATCGCTAATTACATTTGCTCGGCTAAGATAATATTGTATACAGATGATAGTATTTGATTAGCTGTAGCCATCTCTGCCGCTTTAAATTTAACTATTTTTGTGTGAAAATGGACTTCAAATTCTGATGATTTGTGAATATCTCATATTTCACACCATACAAGTAATGTCACCAAACCTTGAGAGCAAATACTATAGAAGCTAACTACAGATCATGCATCTAATAATTCCTCTCATGTGACTAACTGTCTGGATGCATATGCTATTACATTTTTATTTTGCATTAGAACACAACGCAAGCCTCACAATGATGCGTCACTATAAATTTGGAACCCTTTTGTACCTAATAGAATAGCTAACAGTTGAGCAGTGGTCAAATATTTTTTTAATTCTTGAAAATGGTGCTCAACATGGTTTGAATAAATAAGTGGTGGTGATGGAAAGAGGGAAGTACAAATTTGAACTTTTAGTGCCCCTGACCCAACTTCCATCCTTCTCTTTGAACTAATGTGAACAACTCATTTCTTTTTATTAACTGCAGGTTAGATAAAAAAATAAACAGCGCAAAGGATGCCAAGATCCGAGCTTTCCTGATTTACCAAGTCAGCTCTTATGATTTAACTAATAACTAGATAATCATATGCAAAGCGCTTCAAAGTCCAGCTAGAACACAATCTACAAGATGCAAATTAATATATAAAGGTAAATACCATAAAAGTTGGTCCAGAATCCTCAATTATCCATGAAAATCCCTTGAAGCATTTTTCTAAATACAAAAAATATTAGGAAGTGAAAGTGCAGCCGCACCTTAGTACTGATAATCTTGTCTGCAAACTCGCATATAGCGTTCAGAGTCTGCTCAATCTGCGACCTCAAGGATGAATTGGGAGCTAGAGCCACATTTCTCAACCAGTAGTGCCCCACCATCCTGCCCTCGTCTGGATTTGCAATGGCGCCCTTCTCAAGATCCTGCATTGCCATGAATGCTCTCTGCATCCTAGGTTCCATTGTCTCAAAGAACTCGTTCGTGAAGCCAATCCGGCTCACATCAAGGTAAATCCCAAGCTCCTTATGCTCATATAGCCAATCCACATACCGATGCCAAAGGCTAACAGGATCCTTCTCAATGGTGGCGGTCTTCCACTCTGGGCAATTGGAGACTGAAGATAGAGCTGCCGGAATATCCCTAGCGACGGCTTGGGCCGACTGGATGGGACGGCCAGCCGACGCGATCGGAAGGAAAGAGGGGTCTCGCCGGGAAAACAGATTTGCGAGAGGGAGTCTCCTGATTTTGACGGCAGAATAATGGGAGTGGATGCCACATATCGACGCCATGGGAGGTAAGCACAGCAAATGAGCTACATGCCCTTACGGGGGAAAAAATTTGCGTATCCAGTGTGCGTTTTGGAGGTAACAGGCATAAGGTAACACACTTATTATATTATTTCTGTTTGTAATTTTCATGTAACATTATGTAATATACTTATAACATATAATTAAGTTTTGCACTTATTAAGAACTTATTTGTACATTACAGGTAGGTTACAGAAGGTTACATGGAAGTTACAAGGATGCATAACGAGTATATAATCCCTTATACCTTCTGTATAACCTTCAAAGCATACACAGCACTGTGTACGTCTTATATACGCAAATTTTTTCCCCTTATCGGAAGGAGAAAATTTTTCAAGAGGTATGTACACACCTCTAAGGGAGAAAAATTTGAGTACAAGGAGATTATTCACAAGGTATTGGGGGTTTATATCTGTGTTATAACCTACCTGTAACCTAGAAATATATGAAAACAGAAGCGCGAAACTTACTAGAAGGTACAGGTAGGTTACAGGGGGGTTACAGGGGGTATAACGCACATATAATCTCCCAATATCCTATGAATAACCTCTCTGACGTACGCAGCGCTGCGTACGTCTCACGTACGCAAATTTTTCTCCCTCTAAGGGTCCCTTGTTAGTGTGCGACTGCCCACCATTTGAAAATCACGTTATCATTTGAAAATCACGTTCCGTGTCTTGGGGTCTGTTTGGGGCAACTGCAGCTTATCCAATTTATGTTGATAAGTAGTGTATCGCAACAAGTTGTGTATCTGCAGCTGATCCTGATATGCCGGTTGTTGTTTGGTTTATGCGTTTGAAAAACAGTTGATTCTGCATAAATGATCAATTTGCCCCGATTTCTAAACCAGGTAATTGCATTAAAGATTGGCCAAATATCCTAACTTTAAGCAGTAAACACCTCACTTATATGATCATTTTTTTAATCATCTAAGTAGTCATTGCTCATCAACCCAACCCTAGACTAATTATAGAGCCATTTTTTACAAGAATTATTTCTAATAAAAATAAATTAACAAATTTCAGAACAATTAATCAGAACAAGTTTCTATCTGGATTCAAGCTATTCCATCAGCATTCAAACAATTAAAGGGATTGTTTGTTAGGAGGATTTGAGCAGAATTTAACCTAAATCCTGCCAAAGAATAAAAATAACCAATCAATCCTACAGAATCTGCATTTCCGGATTGAAAATCCAATTGGAATACGGATTGCTACAAAACTCGTGATCCCTCTCCTTCGGCCAAACCCTCCCCGCTTCGTGCTCTAGCCTTCGTGAAACAGATGTCGCTCGATCGCGCCCTCCTTATCACCGTCGATGCCTCGCTGACGCTCCTCACGGGCGAACACCCTCGACGCAGATGTCCTCTCCTCTCCCCGAGCTCCTACCCGAGGGCTTTTCACACAAAAATCGAGCTCCTTCCCCACAGCCCGAAGCCTCTTCTCGGACCCGAAGCTTGCCCTCGTCGGAGGTAGACGAAGCACGTGAAGGGTTGGTTGCGGTCCCTACTTCCTTACTCCCACCCGAAGCAAAGGATAGGCGGAGAGCAAAGGTGCGAGACGCGGGGTCGATCTCGCATCCGCGTCTATTAAGGATCCCAAAACATTATTTTGAGATAAGTGTTGGCATCAATTTTTGATTTCACGAGTATAGAGTGTCCACTTGCACGAATTAAGATGATCTTGCATCCGCGTCTATGTCGGCACTATTTTTGGTGTGGGGTTTGCCCGTAAGAAGCTGTCGGTCATTGGAATTTGAAATCCCGTTACCTGCTTCGGAAGGATGTTTTTTTAAAAAA